GATCGAGTCTCGGGTTTCGTGGCGAGCTCGGGGCAGACCACCTGCAGGATTGGAGGGGGCACTGAGATCGACTTCTTCGTGGTTTCCTGCAACATGGGCGCGGCTGTGACGAGAGTCTCTCGCTTGGACGCAGCGCTGAGCCCGCGCTACCCAGTGCAGCTGACGCTGGACGGCAACAAGGCGCCTGAGAGAGCTCTGCGGCATCGGGCACCAAGGCCGTTCCCCACCGTGCGACCAGTGGGGCCGAGGCGTGAGCCGCCGTGCTGGACAGGCTTGCTTTCGGAGCTGGCGGACGCCATCGCGGCGGCAGCACCCAGCAGCGCAGCAGGCAGCCAGGGCCCGTCGGAGCATGGCCCCGAGCCCGCCAGGGAGGCCGACGCCGCCGCCCCTAGGGGGGCCGCCGAGGACGTCGAGGCCGCCGAGCTGGACGGGTCCTTCGACCAGGGAGGGGGCGAGAGGCGCGATCCAGGGGGACCAGTCCCGTTGGGAGCGGTCCCCCAGGATCCAAGTCCTGGAACAAGCAGTTGGGGGCAGCCTGCGATAAATTGCCCTGCTGTGGATGCGAGCTCAGACGGCCCAGAGACTTTGCCGAGCGTTTTGGGGCCACCAATCCTGCTGCCACCGTCAGTTTCGGCGGAGGCGCTGCGAGGGGTTCGAGAGTGCTACGACGAGGACTGGGCGGCGGTCGTCCACTCTTTGAAGGGCGACGTCCTGGACTCGCCCCTGTGCGCCGTCACGGACAGCGAGCCCGAGCCTGCAGGGCAGGCTGGCGGCGCGGGCCAGAGGCAGACTGGCGAGGAGGCGGCGGAGAGCGCGTCCAAGGTCGGGAGGCTAGGCCATGTTGCTGGGCCCGAGGGCGACTTGGGGGGAGACGACACGAGGCGTCCAGCGGCTGGCGGAGATCTGTCTAGGCAATCACAGTCGATGGGATCTGGTGAGGCCCCTCAGGCCGCGGGCAGAGGGCCTCGGACCCTGGACGAGCTCTACGCCAGCTTCGCGGCGCTGCTCGAGAAGGACTTGGGCGGCCTCTTCGACATGGAGCAGGAGGACCTGATGAAGTGCGCGGGGCGCGGCGAGCCCGCTCGCTTTCAGGAGGGCACCATCAGCGCCAGCAGGCGGGGGGCACGCGCCCGCGGCTCCTCACAGGGGCGTACCTGGCACAGGATCGCGGCGCTGCTTTGGGAGGAGCTGGCCAGCAGGCGCCGCCTGCGGGCGCCGCACCTCGTCTCGAGGGAGCTGACCGAGCTGGCGCGGCTGCAGGCCAAGCTCGGCAAGCTGGCGGCGCAGGACCTGGTCGGCGACATCGGCCTGAATGAGGCCCAGAAGGGGAGCAGGCAGAGGGACTTGGCACGCCAGCTGCGGGCAACGGGCGACATGACCTACGGCCAGCTGAAGTCCCTGGAGGCCCACGCCAGGCAGGCCGCCAAGGCTTTCGACTTGAGAGACGCCAAGGGCCGCACCGAGGCCTGGAAGGAGTGGTCCCAGGAGGCGGTGCGCGGGGGCGCGGGGGCCGCCCACGGTTTCTGCAGGGCCCCGCGGGGCTGGACTGCGGACGTGGAAACCAGTGGGCGGCCTGCCGGCATCGCGGGCACGTTGGAGGCGCTGAAGACGGAGTGCCAGCAGGTGTGGCGGCACCAGGAGGAGGACTTCGACCTGGAGGCGATGCTCCCCGACGAGCTCCTGGACGCGGCCCCTGGCCCGCCAGCGCCCGACGCCATCCGAGCGGCGGCGAGGGCGTTCAAGGCCGAGACGGCGACGGGGGTGGACAGCCTCAAGCCGCACCACTTCGGCTGGCTCTCCGACCACGGCATCCTCGCGCTCAGCCTGCTGTTCCACCTCATCGAGCTGCGGACGGATTTCCCGTCGCAGGTGGCCGAGGTCTTCATTTTCTTTTTGGCCAAGCCCGATGGGGGCTGGCGGCCCATCGGGCTGATCGCCTCCCTGATCCGCCTGCTGGGCAAGATCAGGCACGACGAGGCGAAGTGCTGGGAGGCCGCCAGGGACAGGCCCTATTTCTTCGGCGGGGCTGGCAGGTCCTGCGAGGACGCGGTCCGGCTGCAGAGCTTCGATGCGGACCACGCGAAGACGCTGAACCTGGAGGCCGCGTCCACGCTCCTGGACCTCAGCAAGGCCTACGAGAGGGTCACGCACAGGGGGATGGTCCACGCCGCGGGGAGGGAGGGCTTCCCGCTGAGGAGGGTCAAGATCCTACTTCGCCTCTACGGAGGCAGGAGGCGCCTCTGCTTGGACCGTTGGATGACGGAGGCCTTCCAGGTTTTCCTGTCGCTGCTGGCGGGCTGCTCCTTTGCCACGACGCTGCTCCGAGTGGTGTTGGTCGAGCCGCTGGACGCGATGTTGGCGTCCTGGCAGATGGTGCGGCCATACCTCGTAGTCGACGACATCACGTTAGCAGTCTATGCCAAGCGTGCGCAGCTGGAGCACCTGTTGGTCGGGGCCACCCGCGCCCTCTGCTTGGACCTGGAGGCCATCGGCTTCACCATTTCCTTGACGAAGGGCCAGGTTCTGTGCACCGACTCCGACATCGCCAAGCGAGTCGCCCACAGGCGCAGACGCTGGAAGTTCACGCACGTGAAGGCCACAAAGAACCTGGGCGTGGACTTCACCATGGCAAAGTCGGCCTCGTGGAGGGTGCTACGGCAGAGGATCGACCGCCTGAGCCAGAGGGCTGGGCGATACAGAGCCTTGCGCAAGGCGGGGGCCAAGAGGCTCTCGAAGGTTTTCAGGACAGGAGGGTTGGCGTCCATCCTCCACGGCGCGAGAGTCAGCGGAGTACCCACGAAGACCCTGCAGCGCGCCCGAGCAGTCAACGGCAGGGCCATCTCGGGCGAGATCGGCCAGAGATCCAGGACGGTACTCTTCGCCCTGCAGGAGGGCAAGGACTGGAAGCACGACCCAGCATACGCGGCGCACGTCCTCCCGTTGAGGGCTTGGGCTCGCGCCGTCTTCCTACGAGTGCGCCCCCCTGCGGTCTTCAAGCAGGTGCTGGAGTGCAGACCAGGCGACTGGGGCGAGGTCACTGGGCCAGCAGGGGCGGTCCGCCTCTCGCTGGAGCGCATCGGCTGGGAGCTGCTGGACTGGCACCGTTGGAAGGACGACCGTGGGCAGATCCTCGACGTGCAGCTGCTCAGCCCGCGGATGGTGGCCAGCCTCGTCGAGAATGGGGCCCACCGCTACCTCATGCTGAAGATCGCGAGCCACGAGGGCTTCGAGCATCTCCAGGGCCGCCCGCCCAACCTGGAGCCGTTTAGGACGGCTCTGGCGGGCATGCGGCGCGCTGGCAGGTCGCAGGAGGCCGCGCTGGTGGAGGCGCACATGGCAGGTGGGCTCGTCACGCAGTCCGACCTGTACGACGAGAGGGCGGAGCTCAGCCCGCTGTGCCAGTGGTGCGGGGAAGCACCAGGCACGGCGCACCACAGGCTGTTCGCGTGCCCCGCCATCGCCTGCTGGGCGCGCGACCTGGGCTTCCAGGAGATCGCCGACGCAGGCAGGAGGGCGCCGCAGGACGACCTAGGCCTGGTGAGGGGCCTCGTCAACCTCGGGCTGGACCAAGCCCCGCCCCCTGGCATGGACGAGCTCTGCCACCGCGCAGGTTGCGCGCGTCGCGGCTTCCTCGAGGGTGTCATCTGCATCGACGGTTCCGCGATGTACCCAGAGGCCCCGTGCCTGACACGCGCGGGATGGGCAGCAGTGGTGGTGGACGACGTCGGGAACACCGTCGGCGGGCTTTTCGGGCTCACGCCAGGCTGGATCCAGGAGATCGGCTACGCGGAGCTCTACGCGCTGCGCAGGGTCCTGGAGGAGGTCGGCCCATCGCCCATCACGGTCTATACGGACTGCAAGGGGATCAAGGACGACTTCGAGGCGGGTCGAGGACGCTGCTGCGGCCCAGGCCACAAGTACGCGGACCTGTGGAGGCGGATCTGGCAGCTGCTCGACGACCTCGGCCCTGGGTTCCTCACTGTGACGTGGTTGCCGTCGCACACTTCGTGGGCCAGGGCCAGCGCTGCAGGGGTGCCGTGGCTGGCCTTCGCGGGCAACAGGGAGGCCGACGTGAAGGCGAAGGAAGGAGCCAGGCTGCACCCCAGGCAGGAGCGGCTGCGTGAGTTGAGCCGCCGCCTGGACGCCGCCGCCGTGCAAGCAGAGGCCTGGTGTGGCCACCACGGGGGGATCCTGAAAAGACTCGCCGACCTCGGATGGCCCGATCGGGGGGCCATCCCTAGGCCCAGGGGCTCGGATCCTGGGACCCTGGCCCTGGTGGGGCCCGACAGGGGCCACGCCCTGGCCAGGCTCGGTCGAGCCTGGGGCTGTTCGGTCTGCGGGATCCGTCGGGCTACCAGGGCCAGGGTCGTCGCCAGCGCCTGTCCAGGACTCCCGTGGTTGGTCGCCAGGTCCCACCCGTCCCACAGGCTCTGGGTGATTCGGGGCGGGGACGGGCCGGGTCGGAGGTCCTCTGGGACGGGTGGCTGTCTCGTGTTTTGTCGGACGTGCGGGGCCCACGGGAGTCGCCAAGCGAAGCTCCTGGCCGACCCCTGCGTCCCGCTGGCCAGCAAGGGCCGCGACGCGGCTCGCCTGGCCCGCCGCGCCCTCGAGCACCTCAGAGCGGGGCGGGAGCCCCAGACAGGAAGCCGCTGGGGGGCGGTCCCGTTCCCCGTCTCGAGGGCGGCGGCGAGGAGGATTTAGTTTTGCTAAGTTTTGGCTCGGACTCCAAGGGGCCCTCCCGCGCCAGGTTCCCTTGCCTGGCGGGTCCTGGGTCTGCCGTGGAGTGTTTTGATCCCCGTTCGGGGCCGAGGCTGGTTTGCGGAGCGGACCGCCTTCTGGTAGGAACTAGAGGAACTAGAGGAGGAGGGGAAGGAGGAGGAGGACGTGGTGGAGGTGGTGGAGGAGGAGGACGAGGAGGAGGTGGAGGTGACTGTATCCTTTGGCCACTTCCCGTTTGGGCCCCATCCCTCGGGGTCCCGTCTTCGAGCCGCCGAGCGGAGCCGCCGGCCATGCTGTCGGGCCTGCTCTCCAGAAGCGGCGTCGGTGCCGATCGCCCTCGTTGTCGCTGTCGTCGCTGTCGTCGTCGTCGTCGTCGTCGCTCCTCGTCCTCGCTGTCGTCGTCGTAGTCGAGACATCTGTTGTTAGTCAATGATTGGTGCTGATGTTTGGAAACGGTTACGGGCGCTCTCGCCTCGACCCCGGGCTCCCATTATGACGGCAGTGAATCACGCCTGATATCTCCGTACCATATACCCCATGACGCCTTGGCCGGAGGGGTCCCAAGTTGTGGACGCTTCGCGTAACTCCATCAATCCTCATTCCGCCCTCTGGACTTTTCATTGCGGGCCGCAAATCAAAAAAAAGTAACTCCATCAACCCATCCAGAAACGATGCCCAGACAAGCTGCTCTGATCAGGGACGTGGAGTAGGATGCAGAGGAACAAAGGTTCTGGTAAGACGTCGTACCCCAAGAGGAAGGGGATGGAGGAGTAATCGGAGGAGGAGCAAGAGGAGGAGGGGGAGCAGGGAAGGGGTGGAGGGAAAGGCGAGAAGAGGGACGAGGAAGGAGGAGGAACAGGCGGATGAGGAGGAGGAGAAGGAGGAGGAGGAGGAGGAGGGGGAGAAGGAGGAGTTGGAGGATGATGATGATGATGATGATGATGATGATGATGATGATGATGATGATGATGATGATGATGATGATGATGATGATGATGATGATGATGATGATGATGATGATGATGATGATGATGATGATGATGATGATGATGAGGAGGAGGAGGAGGAGGAGGAGGAGGAGGAGGAGGAGGAGGAGGGCTAGGAGGAGGGCTAGGAGGAGGAGGAGGAGGAGGAGGAGGAGGAGGAGGAGGAGGAAGGGGAGGGCTGCGTTCACCGAACACTTTAGCCGACAGGAACCAGGAACCAGGAGGAGGAGGAGAAGGAGGAGAAGGAGGAGGAGGAGGAGGAAGAGGGGGGCGACCAGAAACAACAGAAGGCTCTTGGATGCCTCTCGGTGTCTCTTCGAACTTATGTTGAGAGTTTCTTCAGTTTCTTTATGTAATGAGCTTCCGAGCGCGCGCGGCGCTAGATCCCGGGGGAATCATTCGCGTCTCTCTCTCTCTCTCGGCCTGTGCGCAGTGACTTGTGGGCGTTCGTGCACTAGACGAGTGTTGGCGTCGATCGGTGTCGCACAGCTTTGTCTCCGATGCAGGTTGAACCCCGAACGCCGTCTGAAGTGGCGGCTTTTCTGATTGGGGAATGACGCTCCGCGCGCGCGGCGTTCGGCGGCATTTTGCCGGTGGGACCTGGCTCCGACGAACTTGGCGCATTGCGACCTCATCACTGCGCGTGCGGGGGGGTGGTCCGGAATCTACCGGGATGCCCCGGCTCGCCACGGCGCGTTCTGGGGCGAAGTCCGCCGCTCCTCTCGCCCCGACCGCAGTTGCGCTGCCCTAGCACCTGGGCCCCCTTGGGGGCCTTGCGATGAGAAGCTCGATCTTGGGCGGCCCTGGCGCGCCGTCTGATCGGCCTCCACTATCGCCCTCGCTGCCGCGCGGAGATGGCGGCCAACCATGTTCCGCTCTGCGCGGCCAGCTCGGTCCAGAAGCGGGCAGGGGTGGCGGCTGCGGTCCGCGTGCCCCCGGATGCCCTAGATGCCCTAGAATGTTCGAATGCCGTGAACGATTCTTCCTGGGGGCGCTGTCGGAGGCGCCACGGGCAAATGAGGGTTCGGCCACCTCGCTCGCCGGCAGATGGGATGGATTGGTCTTTGGCAGCGATTCGAGGAGTGGGGACGGGGGGCAACTTGTATTTGGCTGAGAGATTTCGCGTGTGACGCTGCTCGTTCTCCATTATGTTTCTGCTGATTGGGGTCAGTGCGCTTCCTTGGCCGGGCCTGGTGGGCGCGCGGCGTGCGGTCTCAGTTGCGCGTGGCTGCAGCGGTAGGGGGCCCTTCTGAAAGGCTGGAGGAGGCTGAGAGGATGGCTCAGCTTCTGCACGGCGTCCGCGGGGCGAGGGGCGCCTGGGGGAAGTTGGGTCGCAGGGTTGGAATTCGAGCGACCCTTGGCGAGACTGGGGTGCCCGGGGTTTTGCGGCGTTTGAGACGCGGATGGGGTTCGCGGCGCATCTGGCTGCGTCGCGCGCGCATTTTCATAGACATTTGTCTAGACAGTCACTGTTCGAGCTGGAAGCTCGCTCGGGGTGTCCTTATGTATTGCCAGGTTTCGGCCCCATTCGGGGATTGGGCCGCGCGGACAGTCGCGCGAATGCTGGCGTGGCCCAGCGGCTGCTGACATTCTTTTGAAGCATCACTTGGGTCTGGGAATCCGAGAGGCGGGCTCTGCCAGTGGCTATGAGGAACAATATGGCTGCGCCCTTTCCGAATTCTCATGGGCCCAGGAGACCCTGGCACTCTTGCTGGCAAGATGGCAGCGGTTATTTGGCCCCTGCGGCGCCCGCGTGCCGCGCGGCCCCATGTGCCAGATCTGCCCCAGAGATGATCGTCGCAACGCAGCGGGGGCGATCAGAGGAAGAGGTTTTTCGTTGGCTTGGGCAGCGGGGCAGCCTCTCTCTTGGGGAGATCGCGGGCGGGGGGCTGCGCGCTGCATTCACTGCCTTTCCGTGCGTCGTCTTTGAGTGGGTGGCGGGGGGTCTCGCGGCGGCTGGCGCCCGCTGACCCGTCGTCGGTTTCCCCTGGGAACTCCGCCGAGATACTGCCGCAATTTTCATTCTCGCGCGGCCGGGGGGGGGGGCGGGGCGGGGCGGGGGTTTGGTAGAAATTGAGCGCGGGGCGCGGCGGGGGGGCCTGGCCTCTACGATCCACTGCGTGCATGGATTGAGCCCGACTGTGAATTGGTTCGGTTGCGCTCGCGCTTCTAGGTTGTCCTTCCAGTTAGGGCACGCTGATGACTTGCATTTTAGGCTGTCTGACTTCGCGCTGCTTCTTCCCTCTCTCCTGTCTGAGATCGCGTTGCTCGGGCTTGCCATCGGGCTCTTCCTGGGCGAGACGGGGCTCGAAGTCAGCGCGTTCTTCGAGGGGGGGCCAGGAACGCCGCCCTCTGCCTCTGGACTGTCGCCCGAAAATTTGCTGCTTGAGTTGGTCGTTGCTTTGGGCTGAGGCCGCGGCGCCCAGTCTGGCGCGCGCGCGCCGGGCACCTTGGGTTTCTGTTGGGGGGCGCGGGCAAGGCTGAGTCTCGCGGGTGCATTCATCGTAAGTTTTGGCAGAGTGCGGAGTATTCGCATACTGTTTGGGGCCCCCGAGCAGCGTCCGCCTCCGTCGCTCGCGTGCGCCCTCGCCTTTCGCGCGTGCAGTGCAGCTTGCCCCTCGGCCGGCGCGCGTCTTGAATGCTGGTGGCGCGCGCGCCGAATTCTCGCGCCTGGACTTTGCGGCTCGCGCCGCCGGCGCGTGATCATATGCTTCGCGGGTGAGGAGTCTCGGGTTGTCGCCGAAGTCGGTGGGTTTAGTTGGCGGTGTTTGGCGGCGCGGCATCGCGGGAAATGCGCGAGCGTAGCGTGCGCGCGGTTTGGATGGAAGCATCCGGAAGTGCACGGCGATGGCGAAGTCACCCAGTGACGCGCGGCGGGGAATGGAAATGGGGTGGGGGGCCATGGCCATGCTGAGTTGTCTTTCTATCTCCAGCTTCCCAATCTTGAATCCCCTTTCCCAGGTTCTTTTCGGGCCGCTCGATTCGGCCAGTCTTCTGCGGGCGATGCGTGACCGCGCGTGGCTCCGTGATCTCGAAGAGGCAGTTTCCGAGGAGATCCAGGAAATTGCCGGGCGCCCACTCGGGGGTGGATCGCGCGGGGCCCATCGCCGGTCGAGCAGTGGAACAAAGTGCATTTCGATGCGCAGACTTCTTATTTCGCGGATGTGTTGCCAGGGGCCAGGGGTTCCGTGCTGCGCATCGGCCGCGCATTCCAGAACGAAGGTGTTTGTTGGACTGCGCTGAATTTGGGGCGGCTGATAGTGCTTCGCACAATCGTAAATGCCTGGCGACTCGTGACGAGTTATTGTATTATTTCAATGCTTGCAACGCTCTCCGTGGTCTTCGGCAAGAGGCGCTTGGGCCTCGCCATCGGTTTCAAGCCGTGCTCCCTCTTCTGGCCTGCGTGGGGGCTGAATCGCGACGCCTACTGCGCGGCGTTCGTTGATGCTTGTATCGCTATTCGCCGCCTAGGGAGGTTGAGAGACAGGGGCCCTCCATTTTAGTTGCATCATTCGAGACTCAGGATGCTTCGAGGAGGCGCCCAATTCTTCAATTGTGCGTTGGTTAACCCGTCTCCTGCTGCATGGGCTTCTGTGTTTCTAACTGATTGCTTTGCGGTGGCGCTGGGGCGGCGTTTAAGTAGCGGGCCCCCCCCGTCCTGCTGGGGGGGAGTTGAATGCAGGTTGTGTGGCCTAGCCAGCTCTTCCTGACACGGACGTGTTATTGCTTGCGCCCCGGGCATATATTGACGTGATGTAACTGCAGGTTCGCTCGCGATCGGTTGTTCAATGTTTTTTATATTCGTGTCCGCTCTCTCGCCACTTCTTCCCGTCGCCTGTCTTTATGCTCTCTGCCCCGCCGCGTGGGTGGGCCATGGTTCTCCGACCCGCCGCTCCCGCGCGGCCGCCCCTCTCGGTTTCTCTGCTCTGTGTTCGTCGCCGCCGCGCGTCGGAGGGTGGGCCTCCGCGGGGGCGGCCATTTCAGTCGGGTTGGCGCCCGGACCACCAGCACGGAACCACTCCAGGCTGCCCGCTCTGTCCCGCGCCCGTGCGCGAGGCTCTCCGCGCCTTCTCTGCTTGTCGCCTCTGCGGCGAGGTCTCGCTGCAGTACGAGGCCCCTTCGCACGAGAGGGAGTGCGGCTGGTTGTCGGGTTCCCCGCCGCACCCCCCCGCGGCGGTTCGCACGCGTGCTCCTCTGCAGACGCTGCCTCGTCGCTGGTGCTGTTGCGCGCTCGCCCCCCCCCCCCCCCCCCCCCCGTGCATGCCCCCCCCCCTGCTGCCGCTCCGCGGTGCCGCCGCCGCTGCTGCTGGCGGTGGTTGGGCGGGCCTTCTGCGCGGCTGCGGGTCGTCGGCGGGCTCGCGCTGGGTGGGCGGGGCCTTCGCTCCCCGGCGCTCGCGCGCAGGAGGGCATGTGACCGCACCGCAGAGCACAGCGGAAACCCACGCCAAGAAACACCCTGCTTGCCTCCAGGGTTTTCGTTGGTGTCGATGGTCTTGCGGTGGAAAGCGTGGCTTTCCAACACCAGCGATCAATGGACGTCGTGGGGTCTCAGGGTTGGGTTTCTTGTGGGAGGTTTCGTGTGGTCGGGGTCCTTTTTGCACCCTGTCGCTCCCCCTGGCGCCCCGTTTGCTTCTCTCGCGTCCTGGTGTCCAGCTGCTGCTGGTTCCTCCGAATGGAGCGTGCGCTCCGCCCGTCGGCATGGGCCAGAACGACGCGCCAACATGCTGGTGTGCGCGCGTGCTGCAGGTGGAGAAGTGACATCTCCTCCTGCTCCTGATCGTCCTCCTCCTCCTCGTCCTCCTCCTCGTGCTCCTGCTCCTGCTCCTCGTCCTCATCGTCGTCCTCTTTTCCGCCTCTTCTCCTTCCTCCTCCTTTTCATCCTCCTCCTCCTCGCGCGCCTCGTCCGAGGCTTGAGTTCGTACGTATCCACCTGCGGACTCTCGGTGTTCTGGGTGCGCTGGCAGGGCCGGGCGGGGGGGGAAGAGGCGACCCCCTCTGCGGCCCTTGCTCGCCGATCGGGGTCCGATCCCCCCACGTTCGCCGCGTTGAGCCTTGAGTCGGGCATGTCCGTCTACAGGAGGAGTATTCAAACATAGAAGAAACAAGTTTTTGGGGACGATTTAAAATATTTAACACAATTTGTGTGCATTCTTGGGGTATTCTTTTGTCCAAAATCCGTTTGGAGGAGGACATGCCCGACCTAAGTTTAGGCGGCCCCCACCCCCACAAGGCCATCGCATCCCCGCCCAACCGGCCGCCCCCTGATGTGGGGAGAGGCCCCGCGAGCCCCGAAAGGAACAGCATTTTTATCCCCACCCGAGGGGGGGTAAATCGGCCAGTGGAATTCAAATTGGCAGATCGTTGCACGATGGGCCGATTCAGGAATTTGGGACGGAGTAGATCGCAATGTAGCCCTTTGTGCGTAGGTGGTCGGTCCGCTTTGGATCCTGGATCGGTCCGTTTGGGCTTTCCAATCGGGCCGACTCAGGCGGTCTGGTGCGGAGCACGCCCGAGAGTCCGAAATGCCCCGAGTCACAATTCAGAGCTTGCTGATTCACGCTTCAGAGCTGACCGATTCGCGGCACAACAAGAGCAGTTGTTCTTGATCCAGGCAAAAGGTCACATCTCAATGTGGTCCGTTCCCAGATCGTGAGCCAGGCCAGCGCCAATGTTCCCTGGAACTCCCAGAGGGTCCGCAGGGGAGCACCCAGAATGCCGAAGACCTTAGTTCCGACGTCGCGAAACAACGTGCATCATCGTGGAAGATCGCAGTTCGAATTCCATACCACTTTTACCGTGACCGTTCTCGAGCCGGATCGATCTGTGAGGGTCTTGAGGCCGGGACTAGAACTGCATCGCCCCCGTGTGAAACATCACGGCGCCAGGGTTTCAGGGAAGGCTCAGTCACGCCAGTACGCTGGACCCCCTCGGCCCACAAGAGTCGGCAACACGTGCCGTCGCAAGCAAAATTGGGTGAAATTCTGCGCTGGCTGATAGGGCAGGCGGAGAAGGAGAAGGAGGAGGAGGACGAGGAGGAGGAGGAGGAGGAGGAGGAGGAGGAAGGGAAGCAACAATCCGTATCCAGGAGCCCGACGGATCTTGGAAATGGAGACGACGACAGCACGTGCCGCGCGCGCAGTGCTGCTGCGCGCGCACGCGCGGCGCCGCGCGGAGGCACCCTCGTCGCCGGCGCCCCTGCAGGCTATGCGGCGGTGGCTGCCGGGGAGCCCGCGAACGCCGCGGGGGTCTGTCCCTGCCTCTCCGTCCTCCTCGTCGCCGTCCTCCTCGGTGGGTGCGCGGCCCTTCGACCGCCAGCGTCCCTGGGCTGCCCCGGGTGCCCCGGGGCCCGCCCGTGCAATGCCAGGCACTTCGGAGCAAGGCCGAGCAATGCCGTGCAGGAGCGCCACGGAATGCCATGCAGCGCCAAGCAATGCAAATCAATGCCAAGCATCGACGGAACGCGATGCCAAGCAACGATTATGCCACGCAATGCCACGCAATGCCAGGCACTGTCACGCAATGTCACGCAATGTCACCCAATTCCAAGCAACGATTGGAAGAGAAGCCAAGCAAGGCCAAGCCAAGCGACGCAATGCTTTGCACTGCGTTTCCTTGCGCATTGCGTGTCATTGCTCATGAGTGCTTCGGTTGCTCCGGCCTGCTCACTGCGCCCTCCCACTGTGATCCAGCGGGGTTCGCCCTGTGATATCACGCCAGCCTCACTGAGATCGTTGCTCAGAGGGTGTCCGTCGCGGGGGCTCGGAAAGAGAGCCCTCTTGAGGGGCAGCGGATTGGCCGGGCCTCGCGCGGAAAACAGACTTGGGGTCGTGCGGGGTTCTCTCGTTCCTGCTGCTCCTCCTCCTCCTCCTCCTCCTCCTCCTCTTCCTCCGCCTCCTCCTCAAGCTTTGATCGCGCTTCGTTCATCCACTCCGGAGGCGGGCCTTCCTTGGGGCCCGCTCGCCCAACGACGCGCCCACCGCCCTGCCTGGGCCTCCCTCGGGGCGACGGCGACTCGTTCGTGCGTGCGCCGGGCCTCTGCCGGAGGGGGCCCCGCGTGCTGCCTCGCGGGTGTCACCACCCAGCAAATCACCCCGACCCAGCGCGAAGACCCCAGTTTGCCCTCCATTCCCAGTGGGGAGGGGGCGTCTGGGAACACGGAGAGAAGCAAAAACACATGTGGAACCCGTACCCCCCCCCTCAACTCGACAGTTGGGTCTTCGGGTTACGTTGGGGTGGTTTGGTAACTAGCAGAGAGCATGCTAATTAGATGCCTGGAATGGAGTCAGTGAAAGACGGGTGATTCGGCTACCATGATGCCTCTTTTGATTCTGAGCCGGCTATGATGCCCACTCGTGCCCACCCTGTCCCGTCTTCAGCGACTTCGAACAGACCCCTTGATGATGGGATGGGACATCGGGCCGCCACCTCCGGCACTGCACGCACGCTGCCAGGCCCGTGGGGATCTGCCGCTGGTTTCGGCCTCACCGAGGGGCCCATTCCTCGATACACGGGCGCCTCCCGGCGCCGGGAGGCGCCGGGAAAATCAGCTACGTGAGCTGATTCTCAAACCCCTCCTTTGCTATCCCCCCCTTTCGCCCGACCCGATTCTAGCCTTGAGTCGGGCCTGTCCCTCTAGAGGAGAAGAAGTCAAAAATAGTCACACAGTAGTCGGGGGACGATTTTTGGACTACCTTTGATTATTTGGGGGGGTATTCTGGCTACTTTTTATGATTCGTCCAAACTCCGCCTGTAGGAGGACATGCCCGACCCAAGTTTCTGGCCGCGGCCCGCGCCTAGCGCGAGGAGCCTCCGGTGGTCCTCGCGGCCGAGGAGGCGCAGGTGCCCGGCGTGGTGCCCCAGGAGAGCCCTCCCCCCGGCGCGCGCCCCTCCCGTGGCGTGGGCGGGGGGGTCGCCCGCCGCCGGCGCCCACGCCGCGCTGCGCTGCGGTGGCCACACCGTGTGTGGATGATCGAAGGGGGCACGGATCACAGCAGTGACAGCGATAGCAACGAGGGCAGCGATCGCAAACGACGACAGCGATGGCAGCTGCAAGGTTCCCAGCGATAGCAACGATCAAACATCCTTCAGGAGAGGAAAAACACACAGACAAAATAAATCGTCGATTCCCAAGAAAAGATGGGAGAATATGGGAATTGGGGGGGAAGAGAAAAACACAGAAAATATTGAAAATTATGGGGAATCCTTTCATTCGTGTCTATTTATTTGTGTGTCCCAGGGCCCTTCAATGACAGCGATCGCAACGACGACAGCGATGGCAGCTGCAAGGGTCCCAGCGATAGCAGCGATCAAACATCCTGGCCAGGCCGGTCCTGTGCCCAGGATGGTGGTGCACGCCCTCCTCTGCTCGGTGCAGGCGTGCAGGTGGCGCCCCCCGCCCCCGCCCCCCCCCCGGACCCAGGGGCGCCTGCGCAGCGAGAGCCTCCCGCACCCAGCATCCGAACGATCGGAATGGATACGGTAGAGGGAAATACTTACTGAACATTCCCCCTCCCCCCAAACTCAATGTTGGCACGCGCGGGGGAGACTGCGGTCGAAGTGCATCTCGTCAGACCCACCGCCAACTTTGAACATTGGGGGAGGGGGAGGCGTTTGGGGAGGCGTTGACGGATGAATGTGGCATGTGTTCGCTAATTTGTTCCGAGGCCTGTACGGAAAGAATGGGTGCCAAGGCCGACGGCATCTCGTGTTTTTTTTTGAGCAGGGCTCTCGCCGACGGTGTCGATGCGAGCGTCGTCCCTGTTTGAGACAGAAGGCCGCCTGCCCCACAGCGGCCGCTGCGTGCTTTGAACAAAAGTTGATGTTGGGTATCGTACCCATCGGTCGTGTATTTGGGATTTCCATATTCCAGATTCCAATCTACATTAGGCGCTTTCCAGCTTCAATGTTCGAGTGGCTTCACCTTTTCCGTCCTCTTAACGGGGCGGGCGGACACCCAATCTCTTTTCGACGCCTTCTTCATGCTTCTACCTACTTCTTCCGACCGATGGGTGCCCGCTTCTCGGGCGTGCCACTCGTTTGCAGAAGCTCGGCGCGACCACGTCATCGCGGGTTCTTCTGGCGCATTCGGGGCACGCTAGCGATCTTTCGGTGACTGAGGCGAGCGCTGCGCTTACCGCCTTTGTCAAGGCACTGAGGGAACACAGCCAAGCTGCTGAAAAGAACCGCTTTGGGCTCACGAGGGGCTCTGGTTGGCGGGCCGTTCCTTGGATGTGGGTCGGGGAATTCTCCTCGTGGCCGAGGCTCGCCGTGGCCAGAAAGGCCCTTTCGCTCCTTACTCAGCGTTCCTTCTGGTACAGTCGACCCGCATAGTAGGGATGGGCAACCTTCCCAAGGGTACCCTTGCATCCTTGCCTCCTCGGTTCATCCTTGGCCACTTTCGTCGGCTCCGCCACGCTCGAGGCACTTCGACCTCGACGCCCAAGGCCCTTGCATCCTGATCGCGCGTCCTTATGTTATGGGCCGACCGTAGCGCGATGGCTGCAGACAGGGCACCGAGCATGACGCACCAACCACGGGGCGCAGCGACGGAGGAACACGGGGTCGTCTGCGCAGGCACTCGCGCGAGAGCTGTCCGCCGAAGGCCGTGCGCGAGCGCGCATCGTCTCCAGTGCAGCGTTCCGCACTCGCGGCCTGCGTAAAGCCACCACGCACGGTCGCCACCGATTCTTCCTCGTCGCGCACATAGGCACCACCCACGGCACACCAGCGCGCGGACGGGGCCGGACTGCGACGAGCAGGGCACCGCACGGCGCCGGCCGCCTGGCAGGGAAGCTCCGGGCACCCGCAGCGGAGGGCGGGCGAGCGAGCGGCAGGCTGCGACGGCGAGGGCCAGCTCCTCGAAGCCCAGGCGACGGCCCCCGAGCGCAGGGCGCCGTGCAGGAAGCCCGCGCCTTTCCAGGCCGCCGGCTTCCTGCTCCAGCCTCACTTTGAAGCACGGTGGTGCCCACGATGCCAGCGTGGGCTTCGGGGAGACCCGGGAGCGAGCCCGCAGGACCCCCCCGCCCAGAGAGGCCTCCGAGAGCGCAGGAGTTCGGGAGGTCCCTCGCAGCCTTCGAGAGCTTCTCGTACTCAAGAGGCTTACGCCATGCAGGCGACCCTCGGAAAGGGAGTATTGTGCGGCTTCCGATGCCGCATGTGTTGTTGGCCGTGCTGGCCAATTCGCTTCTCGAAGCCCCCGTTCAGCTGTATCGTTGGTGCAGCCTTTCTGCTTTGCCGCCGCCGACTGGATAAAGCGTTGTTGGCCGCTTCCTGGCGTGCTGCTTGCGTGGAGTTGTTGCTGAGTTGTCTTCTTCTACCCCCGCGCCTGTGGTGGGGCTTCTCGTGATCTCTTGGGTCGTCAGGCCTCATTATCTTATGGCTACTCCTGCTCTGCCTTCGTTTCGTTTGATGTGAGGTCTCGTGGTCGTTGATCGCGTTTTGCGCTCGCGGCGCTCAATGAGCTCGAGAGCTACATGGCGTCGTTCGCCTGGCGCGTCGAGAGGTTGCCATACCGCCATACCGATCTCGCGTGTCAGCCAAAGCGGCCTTCGTCGTGGGCGGGAAGTCTTGCAATAGCCGATTCGTTGCTCGTGCAAAGGGGTTTGGGCCTTGCGACCCTGAGACCTCTGCGTCGGGGGTTTTCGTCAGGGCCGGCGCACGCGCAGGTACGTTGAGACTTGGCGCGCCAACACGGGACAGACCCTGGACACACCGCCCCGAAGTGGCCCCGGGAAGGCCAAGTGGAGACCAGCGGTGCTGCCACTTTCTTCAATCTGTATCGATGGCCAAGACGCCGAACACTTAGAGGTGATCTCCGCAGGCCACACCTGGCAGAACATGGGCGTCGACGTGGGCCACCGCTCTCCCGCGGGCAGCTCTGCCGCGCGCGGCTGTCGGGGAGGGCGCGCGGCGAGGATAAGATTTTCGTTTGATTTAGATTGTGCTGATTCGTGTAGGTTTGATGTAGCTTGCTCTGGCCAACAGTGTGGGTGCGATGTGCGTTTGATCATGCCTCCACCGCGATGGCACTTCCAGGAGGAGCCCGGAAACCTTTCGGAGGAGCGTTTCAGGAATTGTTGACGTTTCGCGAATCCCCACCAGCCCATCCTAAAACAGCCGTTCTGTGAATAAGCATCGATGATTGGTATTCGTCGGTTACCTTGGGGGGAAGAGGGGGACAGGTGTTTGGGGAGAGTGGTTGAAGCGAACACGATGCCCTGTAGCATGGCCTGTAGGATGGCCTCAGAAAGCGAACTGTTCCTCCGTGTTTTCCTCTCCTCTTCTCCTCCTTCTCCCTTGTCAGCCTGTTCCTCCTCTTTCTGCTTTTCGTCATCGTCCTCATCCTCCTGATCGTCCTCGTTGTTTTTTTGGCTCCTCCTCGTTCTTATTCTCGGCACTTATGTTTCCTCCTGTTCTTCCTTTTTCTCCTGACTCTTCTCCTCGTCTTTCTCTTATCTTCCTCCTTCTCCGTTCCTTGTCGTCGTGCTCACTGATTGTGAGTCTCGTGGTGCGTGAGGTGGATCATCAAGAATACACGAGGAATGCGTACGCTTGTGAACGTTCGGGGCGCGTGCGTGCCATCTGTGTTGCCTATGATCGTTCGGAAAGCTCTGCAGTATTACATTATTCTGCGATGTTTGTTGCAACCTCTTACGCAACCCTTCCCCAACGCGAGCTTCCTTGGGTCTCGCCTGTGGCATCCTTGCCAAATCTCTATCGTCGGGGTCGTGACTTGAAATATCCAATTGCGTTGCCGCGCATGTCCGCCACCGCGCTAGAGGAAGCGGCGCAGTGAGGCACGTGCGTGGCAGGGCGTAGTAAAACTCTGCGTGGTTAGTTTGTACGAAACGAAAGCATTTCGAATTTGAGGCGAACAGTGAATGGTTGTGGTTTGTTCGGGCCTTCTTGAAATTGTTGGGGGGGTGCTTTGGGGCCTTCATGGGGCTATCTTGTAGCTTTCGGCGTGCCTGGCCAGTTTGGCTGGGCGGTATGTCAGAGGCGTCATGGATGCTGGTTGGATGCTCGTGGTTGGCCGCTTCGGGGCCTGAGGGGGGCAGTTCCGACGCCTTGTGACGCCTCTTGGAGGCGGTTGGAATCTCCTTGGGGGCACTTTGAGGCGTCTTGGGAATTCTTTGGGGGCCTCTCACGTCATAACAACGACAGGTTAGGACTCCGACGTAACCAGAGAAGAGAGATAAGGAGGAGGCGGACAACAGGATCAACACATTGCAACGAGGTGGAGGAGGAGGATGTCGGGGAAGAACTGAGGAACACACCGACGGTGATGAGGAGGCGGCGGAGGAGGAGGAGGAGAAGGAGCAGGAGCAGGAGCAGGAGCAGGAGCAGGGGCAGGGGCAGGAGCAGGAGGCTGATAAAGAGGAAGGGAAGGAATAGTAGTATAATAGGCGGGCAAGGATGATGATGAGGAGGAGCAGGACGGATGCGAATAACAGGATATGCAAATGGGCCAGAGGGGGAGGAGGATAATGTGGGGGGAAGGAGACAAGAAACAAGGAGGAGGATGAGGAGGCGGCGGAGGAGGAGGAAACTAAGGAGCAGGAGCAGGAGCAGGAGCAGGAGGCTGATAAGGAGGAGGGGAAGGAGGAGTATTATAGTAGGCAGACAAGGATGATGATGAGAAAGAGGAGAAGGAAGAGAGGGAGGAGGAGGAGGAGGAGCAAGAAACATGACGAACATAAGAGTCTCCTAGGGTGTCTCCTCGGAGTTGTCGTGGAAGCTTCTTGAAACGTCTGGGAGTTTCTTGGGAGCCTCATAGAGACTCTTGAGGCTTCTTGGGGGCCTCTTGGGAAGCTATTTGAGGCGTCTTGGGCGCATCTTGGGCCCGTCTGGGCTCCTGTGGGGGCCTTGTCGGGGCGTTTTTGGAAGCTTTGGGGGCTCTCTTGGGGCCATCTTGGATGATATCGGCCAACGAAGGGGGGTTCCTGAATTACGGCCCCCCCTCAGGAGCACCAACAATTGCCTCCTAAACCCATCTTGGAGCGTTATTCGAGCGCTCTTGGGCGATCTTGGGGCCGTCTTGGGTCTCTCTTGGGCCCCTCTTGGGGCCATCCTGGGCCATCTTGGAGCCATCTTGAAGCCTCAGATGGCCATCGGAAGCGAAAGGGTGAGAAAGCAAAAAAACATTGATTCCTGAGGTTTTGGCACGATTGTTGGCTTCGCCGGGGTCCCGTTGGGGAGCTCCTTTGGTAACTGAGAACCATTTTGGGGCCGTCTTGGAGCGTCTTGGAGCATCTTGGGAGCTACGTCGAGGCATCTTGCGCTATCTTGAGCCATCTTGGAGGCTATTTCGGGCTCGCTGTGGCCCTCTTGGAGCCAGCTTGGGCGAAAAGGTACGCGCTGACACCTCCCAGCCCCCCCCCCCCGTCCAGGTCCATGGGGAGGGGGTAGGGGGAGGGGTAAACCCCTCCCCGAAGGGGAAGAGGGAGGGGTGGAAGAGGAAACGCCCTAAACTACCGACGCCCAGAGGGCAGGTGGGATTTGATAGGCGACGGGTCCCATACAGCGAAATTTGTCTCAGGACCCCATCGGCTCCCAAATCCAAGGGTGACCAGCGCCAACGCGCCTCGGGGGCGGCTTCGTGGGAGCCTTGCCATGGCTCCGGTGGTCTCCTTGGAACCATCTGGGGGCGTCTTGGGTAGGGAGCCCACAAAGGACGTACGCGCCCGGCTATGTACATGAACACGGCCCCTCGATTCGCGAGACCCGCCGCGTTATACGAACATTTGTGCAATGCGTGCTCTCGAAACCAGCGTGGATTCATGTACATGTACGTCCTTGTTTCGCTCCTGATTGCGGGGGCAATCTTGCGGGGGAGGTCGCCCAGACCCCTTGCGAGGTCCCTTCTTAGGCGGGCGTCTCTTGGGCCTTTCCTGGGGCCCTCTCGGAAGTTGCTCTTAGCCGTTTCGGGGGCTTCCAGGGCTGTCTTGGGGCCCTGTTGGGGGTTTCTTTGAGATCGGGCATGCCCCTCTACAGGAGGAATACTCAAACATAGTAACACACATGTCTGGAGACGTTTTTGTTTTGTTCAGTGTTTGTCGGGTTTCTGTTTCGATACTAGTTGAATTTTGATTGACAAATTTTCATTTGTCGTCCAACATCGGCCTGTAGGAGGACACGCCCGACCTACGGTATCTTTGGCGTCGTGGGCCAGAAAGGGGGGGCCCGTGGGGAGAACGCGAAAACACGCAGACAGATGAGCTGCCCCGTCAGGCTCGGTTGGGGCTCTCTCGGGGCGCTCTTGGGGCGTCCTGGGGACCTTGAGCCGTTTTGGGGCCATCGTGGGCGTTCTTGAGGCGACCCCGGCACGTTGGAGCCCCTCTCGAGCCATCCTAGGAGGCATCGGAGGCATCTTGGAGTGGCCACGGGTGGGCGATTTGGAAGCCCCAGGCGCGTTTTTACGAGCTCGCTCCTCCCCTTTCGCACTCTGGGCTGTATGGTGTATGGGCTGTTCTTGATTTGTCGTATGCTCCGCCGTACTACATCTTTGTTGGGCTGGTTTCGTGGTGCGCGCCGTGACTCGCTGGTTATGTCTCTACGTGGTGTTCGAGATGGGTAACGCTGTATGTTCATTCGTCTTCGGTGGTGACGAGGGCGCTGTGCAGCGTTTTTTGCCTCAGTGTGGTCTGGGTCCTCCGCGAAGTCTTCGTGGCCTTCGTGCTGACCGCGCCCGTTCAGACTTACATATCTTCGCGGTTGGGAAACCACATTTCTTACACGAGATTGTGACCCCCGGAAGGGCGATTACGGGGGGGGGGAGAAAGACCAATGTCTCACACGACACGCCCCATCACCCCCGGCAAGAATGGGTCAGGGCCGTCGGAGGTCCGAGGGCACTGTTCCGCGGCACATCAGGCTCAAGGGCCTGAATCCCGCGGATCGATCATTCAGATCACACACTTCGCACGGGTCCCCTCGGGTTGATCCATTCAACTCTTCAGGTGCTTCGGCCATCCGTATCAACACACTATCGATGGCTAGCGCTGGCGGACAGCTCCCAGGCAGATTTCAACTCACGCCGCAAGTCGAGGTTACACGTCTCGCGGGAAGTGAAGGTGCTCCCTCCGCTAAGCAGGTGCGCCACACGAGCTCGTGCCCACCCATACGCCCTCGCACGAGCACGCCCCTGAACGAAGACCCGAGCAGCGCGGCAGACACCACGAGCCCGCGGGCCCACGTCGACTGGGCCGACGTCGACGACTCTGACGACGACGACGGCATGAGCCGGTGCAGCCTGATGGAGAGGCATCGGGAGCCTCGAGACGGGGGTCAATGCAAACGGGGGTCAGCCAGGGCGCCAGATCCTGCAGGATCCTGCGAAGACCCCCTCTGGCTGACCCGGGTTAGCGAGCCGCTCGTGGCCGCGAGGCGGCCGCGCGTATTGGCTGACCCGGGTTTGAGAAGATCTGCGTTGCAGTTTTTTTTCTCGCATTTCAGTTTTTGGTTTCTTGCTGACCCGTGTCTGGATTGACCCGGGTCAGAAGATCCCCTAAGGCAGCTGCCGGACCTCCCGGACGGCAAGGCCGACCCGGCCCCGCAACCAGCAGGCCGTCCGAGCCCGCCGTGCCGCGGGCGCACCCCTCTCCGCAGCAGGGCCTTGGCGTTCGTTCCGGCGGTCTCGCGGGCGCCGGCCATCCCGAGGATCTGGACGCCCGAAATGGGTAATTACGGAAAGAATGGGTACAATGCCCAACAGCAGTTCCTGTTCACTTTGAACAGGACTCGCTGTCGGTGTCGCCGCGGCCTGTGTCCATTTGAAACAGAAGGCCGCCTGCCCAACAGCGGCCGCTGTTGATTTGGGACAAGATTTGTTGTTGGGCATTGTACCCATTCTTTCCGTACCCATTTCGGGCGTCCAAAGAGGAAGGAACATCGCCATGAACGTAAACCTTCGTGAACTCAGCGCGGATTTCCTAGATTTGCGGCAGGCGTCCCCATGCCGGCGATTCCAGGCGGCGACTCTGGCGCAGCACCCGGCGTTCTCTTTGGCGCCAGGGGGGGGGGCCCAGCGCCGCTCCAAGAAATCTGCGCGGAGCTCTGAAGGTTAATGCTCGCAGTGTGCTGTTTTTTTCTGTTCCTCGGTCATCGCGGAGGTCACGTGCAGCTGCGTCCCTCACCGCGTGGAGCAGGTGTTGGACAGCGGCGGGCCACACACGGTACCCCAGAGTTGGGCGAAGACCACGGTCGTGGTGCGCAACTTGCCGTGCGGCTTCCTGCGCGACGACCTGATGCAGGCGATGGACGCCAGGGGGTATGAGGGGATTGGAGAGGCCTGACGGCCGGTGCCGCCGACCCTGATCGAAAGGGCAAGGAGGGGGGGAGGAAGCGGAGGAGGAGGAGGAGGAGGAGGAGGAGGAGGAGGACGAGGAGGACGAGGAGGAGGAGAAGGAGGAGGAGGAGGAGCAGGAGGAGGAGGAGGAGGAGGAGAAGGAGGAGGAGGAGGAGGAGGAAGTGCATCCTTTGTGTGCCCGCTCGAAGAAAGTGCGCCCCGGGCGTGTGATATTCTGACTTGGGACGTGCTCCCCGAAAAGGAAGAAGTGCATTTCGGGCGTGCCCGCTCGAGGAAAATGCGCCCTAGGGGGGTGGTATTTTGACCCGGGGCCCGCACCCGGGACGCCTCTTCGGGAGGAGGAGGAGGAGGAGGAGGAGGAGGAGGAGGAGGAGGAGGAAAAGGAGAAGGAGGAGCAGGAGGAGGAGGAGGAGGAAAAGGAGGAGGAGGAGGACCAGGAGGAGGAGGAAGTGCATCCCGTGCGTGCCCGCTCGAGGAAAGTGCGCCCCGGCGGGCGTCGTATTTGCCCCGGGACCCCCCCCCCTCCCCCCCCCCTTCTGCGGGGAAGGGATCAAAGGGAAGGGGCTTCCCTTCGACTCCATTACGACGTCGTTCAATTTCCCTTTGGATAGCGCGCTTGAGGAGGAGAGCCCTGGGAGGGGGAGAACGGAGACGACAGAGACGACGAGTCGAACGGAGAAGCCCCTCACACACGCCGACAGGGCCGGCGGATTTACAATCTGGTGTACCTGCCCATGGACTTCCAGACCGAAATCGGGCTTGGCTACGCGTTTGTGAATCTGCTTACGGAGGGGCACACGCAGCGCTTCATCCTCGACTTTCATGGTTTCGACGAATGGCCATTCCCGTCTGCAAAGGTGTGTTCCGTGGAGCTTGCTCGGACACAGGGCCTGATCACGAATGTCGAGCGGTATCGGAACAGCCCTGTCATGAACCCAGAGGTACCCGACATCTTCAGACCAGTGCTCTTCGACGGGAAGAAGCGCGTACCCTTTCCAGAGCCTACCAGGGACTTGTCCAGCTGCGGTTCTCCGTGGCGTAGTCGCCACAGTGTGTATTGAGCGTGAATTGGGGAGTACAGTTTGAAATTACTCCAATGGACGGATCAATCCCATTCAGATTCGGCATGTGAGCATATCGTAACGGTTCTGCAGGCTGCCCGATTTTGCGCAGGGATCACATTTTTTTGTTCTGCGCGACACCGTCTGGCTGAATGCACAGGCCGCGGCGCCGAGCCGCCTTCGATGGTGGAGGCGCTTGCCGGACCGAGCTTCGCCTTCGCCCTCCAGGGGGCCCTCCCGGGAGCAGGGCAAGGGACGCCCCACTGTGTTCCTCTCTGCCCCCCCGCCCCGGCACGGCCCCGCGAATACTACTGATTCTTTCAGCGGTCAGGTTTCGCATCATTGCCTTTTGCTGTGTTTTTTGTCCTTCCGCAGGGCTGTTTGGCATCCCGTCCCAAAGTGCCAGTGCTCCTACATCTCGCGGCCACTCTGACAGCAAAGGGTCCCTTCCCGGCTCGTTCTCGACCACTGGCCACTGGACTGAAAAATTGCTGACCGTTATATACAGACAACATGAATACGGTGAGACTTCAATTAGTGGCCCTCTTTAGTTCAAAGGCAAGGCGCGGACAATCTCAAAGACAATGTTGTGCAGTGGGACTTATTCAAATAACGAACCGTTCAAGGGAGGGCAGCGCAACGCAATGCAATGCAATGCAATGCAGCGCAATCCAATACACCACCGAGAAATACAACAGCAGTGCAAAACTAATGCGTTGCAGCAGCATGTGCGGCAACATATAATGGATCACACGCAATGCATGTCAGTACACAGCAAGCATCACAGCAGAGCAGTACTGAAGAATTACCGATGCGACGCTTTGCAGAAACAATGCAATTCAGTGCAAGCGTAGTGCAATCGCAATGCGCAAGCAATGCACATGCGATGCGCACACAATGAGGCGCAATCCAACGTGAACGATTACAGCAGAAACCACGTTTTGACGTATTGCAACCAGTTAGCGAATTCAAGGCAAACGCATTGCGGTGCCTCGCAATGCGATACCCATCAGTTGAGCAACAGGGCAGCAATTGTGCAACGCTATTACTGGCATGATATGGTATGCTATGCTGTGTGTTTTGCAGTTCGATCGAAGGTTGAAGGCGAGACCGCAGTGAACGTAGTGCCCCCCCAAAGGTGAAAACGGATTTTGTTTGCCGTTAGTGTCGTGAGTGCAGGCGACGCGAAGCTGCGCAGTATCGTCACATTGAAAGACGCAGCTGAGGCAACTTGCCTTGCTTGCTCCTTCCCTCTCTGGTGACTGCGATTGCACTGTATTGTGAAGGCCTTACGGCCGGTGCCGCCGACCTAGAAGGACGACGACAGTGATTATGACGACGACGATCACGACGACAACGACAACGACGAGCTGATGACCTTGCGGTGGAGGGAGGAGGAAGAGGCGGAGGAGGAGGCGGAGGAAGAGGAGGAGGGGAGTGGGAGGCGGAGGGGGGGGAGGAGCAGGAGGAGCAGGAGGAGGAGGAGGAGGAGGAGGAGGAGGAAGGGAATAAGGAGGAGGACCAGTGTAAACATGAGACTCATCAGCGATGTTGGAATGACACTCCCGAGCTTCCTCTTCATAACCCCCTGCAAGGATTCATTTCCACTGATGGAGGTGCCCCGTTGGGAGACAACCTTTTGACGATCCTGAAGCGTACCAAAACATCATTCTCGGAACTCCAACGCCACGAATCGATTGCATTGTTTCGTGTTGACGTTCCAGAATCGTGCCAGAACGCAGTTCGCGAGAATTCAACACCGCGAATCACTTGCTGCGCCTTGACAGTCCTGAATTGTTGCTAAAGTGCGCCATTTTGGGGTTGAATGATGTTCTTACTAATGTTTTAGGCGTCCGCGCTCGGCGCCCAGGCGAGAGTTACATTTTTACCTAACAGCTTGTTCTGATAGGTTTCTAGTGGTGTCAAAAGAGAGCAGCAGATGACTCCACAGGGGGGTCTGGGCGGGTGCCGGACAGGGTGCCGCAGAAGTCGTTTTAAGCTAACAGTCACACACTTCGTGCTCTTCGACCTCCCAGAACTCCATTCCCGGGCCACATTCTGAATGCCCGGAGCCAACTGTAGGCCACTTCGTGCTCTTCGACTTCCCAGAACTCCATTCCCGGGCCACATTTTGAATGCCCGGAGCCAACTGTAGGCCACTTCGTGCTCTTCGAGTTCCCAGAACTCCATTCCCGGGCCACATTTTGAATGCCCGGAGCCAACTGTAGGCCACTTCGTGCTCTTCGAGTTCCCAGAACTCCATTCCCGGGCCACATTTTGAATGCCCGGAGCCAACTGTAGGCCACTTCGTGCTCTTCGAGTTCCCAGAACTCCATTCCTGGGCATGATTTTGAATGCCCGTAGCCAACTGTAGGCAACTTCGTGCTCTTCGACTTCCCAGAACTCCCATTCCTGGGCCACATTTTCAGCAGGGGCAAGAGCACGACGAGGCGGAGGACGAGCAAGACCAGGAGGACGAGGACGAGCAGGAGCAGGACGAGGAGCAGGAGGAGCAGGAGAAAAAGGACGAGCAGGAGGAGGAGGAGGACGAGCAGGAGGAGGAGGACGACCAGGAGGAGGACGACGACCAGGAAGAGGAGGAGGAGGAGGAGGAGGAGGGGAAGGGGAGGACTACGAGGAGGAGGAGGAGGAGGAGGAGGAGGAGGAGGAGGAGGAAGAGGAGGAGGAGGAGGAGGAGGAGGAGGACGAGGAGGAGGAGGAGGAGGGGGGGGAGAGCTGCCTTTTCGTCGAGATGCTGTTCGACCCAGAGATGCTCCTACACATGGCTGTTGGGTTGCTTTGCCGGGATAATTGAAAGGAACCGGCCTCAATCCGTGAAGCTGGTTCAGTTTTTAGCGGAATGTGCGCGGCGCGAAGGTGAACGCCACATTGTGGAAATTGCCCTCAATCCGCGAAGCTCTTGCAATGTTTGCAGACGAATGTGCGCGGCGCTAAGGCAAGAGCCACATTGTGGAAACCACCCGCCCTTTTCAATCCGTAAAGCTTGTTCATTTTGTCAGACGAATCTGCGCGGCGCTAAGGCAATAATCAAATCTTGAAAAAGGAACAGCCCTCAACATGTGAAGGCCATGCACATGATTGAGACGAATCTGCGCGGAACTAATGCGAGAGCTACATTGTGGAAGCGGCCGCCCTCCATCTGTGAAACATGTTGCCAATGTTTCTGCTTCGGGGTCATACGTGACAAGGAAGTCTCAGGCGAAACGGTCGGGCCGCGTTCATGATGAATGCCAGACTGATTGCTTGTGGCCGATGCCGACCGGGCTCCCGGGGGGGGGGGTGTTGGGGAGGGGGGAGCATTTCACACGCCCATGAGCCCCAAGGGGTCGGCGGATTTTTGGGTCGGTTCTGCAGGTCGCCGCGGCGATCGCGGCGGCCACAAATCGGGGCGACGTTTGCGTCAAGGAGTGGCATGCCCCGTCCGAGCCCCCCCCCCACTCTGCGATGTACAGTTTGTGGCTCACGATGAAACATGTAGCGACAGAGAGTTGTCAGTGTCTGCCCAACGTGGGCAGCCATTTTTACCTAACAGCTCTTGCTGATAGGTTTCTAGTGGTCTCAAAAGAGAGCATCATGACTCCTCAGGGGCGTCTGGGCGGGACCCGGAAAGGCTGCCGCCGAAGCCGAAATCGCTTTGGACATCCTCGCAAAATCGCTCGTGGTGCTCCCAGAACTCCATTCCCGGGCCACATTTTAGATGCCCGGAGCCAACTGTAGGCCACTTCGTGCTCTTCGACTTCCCAGAACTCCATTCCCGGGCCACATTTTGGATGCCCGGAGCCAACTGTAGGCCACTTCGTGCTCTTCGATTTCCCAGAACTCCATTCCCGGGCCACATTTTGGATGCCCGGAGCCAACTGTAGGCCACTTCGTGCTCTTCGAGTTCCCAGAACTCCATTCCCGGGCCACATTTTGAATGCCCGGAGCCAACTGTAGGCCACTTCGTGTCTTCAGTTTCCCAGAACTCCATTCCCGGGCCACATTTTGGGCATGCGAATGCCTGCCCAGCTGTAGGCCACTTCGTGTTCTTCTAGTTCCCAGAACTCCATTCCTGGGCCACATTTTGAATGCTGAGGCAGGCTGATGCTGCGGCCGAGGCAGGCTGAGGCTGAGGCAGGCTGAGGCTGAGGCCGAGGCTGAAGGCAGACTGAGGCTGAGGCTGAAGCAGACTGAGGCTGAGGCTGAGGCAGGCTGAGGCTGAGGCTGAAGCTGAGGCTGATGCTGAGGCAGGCTGAGGCTGAGGCTGAGGCTGATGCAGGCTGAGGCTGAGGCAGGCTGAGGCTGAGGCCGAGGCTGAAGGCAGACTGAGGCTGAGGCTGCGCAGGCTGAGGCTGAGGCTGAGGCAGGCTGAGGCTGAGGCAGGCTGAGGCTGAGGCTGAGGCAGGCTGAGGCTGAGGCTGTGACTGCGACTGCCGTTGCCGCTGCGACTGTCATCGCGAATGCGACTACGACTGCGAGAACAGCAGAATTCTACAACTGGATTTTCATCTGAATCTTAAGGGGAATGCTTCCAGATATGCTTCTACACATCGCTGTTAGGTTGCTTTGCCGGGATAATGTTATTGGTCTGGGTTTACTACTGCTACTACTACTACGACGACTACCGCTACTACTACTACTACTACTACTACTACTACTACTACTACTACTACTACTACTACTACTACTACTACAGCTACTACTAGTACTACTACTACTACTACTACTACTTACTACTACTACTACTACTTACTACTTACTACTACTTACGACTACTACGACTACTATAACTACTACTACTACTACTACTACTACTACTACTACTACTACTACTACTACTACTACTACTACTACTACTATACTACTACTACTACTACTATACTACGCTACTACTACTACGACTACGACTACTACTACTACTACTACTACTACTACTACTACTACTACTACTACTACTACTACTACTACTACTACTACTACTACTACTACTACTACTACTACTACTACTACTACTACTACTACTACTACTAGACTACTACTACTACTACTACTACTACTACTACTACTACTACTACTACTACTACTACTACTACTACTACTACTACTTCCACCACTACTACCAGTCATCACGCAACCGGCAGTTTTGCAGGATTTGGCCCCCCCGCCGCTCCCTTTTCGGTACAACCGGCGATCATCCAAGGCCGCTTTTCTTCTGGAGTCGGCCCAGGCTCGTCGTCGGCGTGGGGCTCTGCCGGAATCGGGCCTTCAGCACTGCTGGGCCTGGGCCGGGCCACGGCTTCTCTTACCAGCCTCGAGCGTATCCCTACCCATAAGATTGGCACGCCAAAAGGCGATGACAATCTTTGGGATGCGCCCTCAAAAAATACGGGAATCCCTAAGATCGGCATCGTGATGAGGAGGTGCCCAGCATAGGGATAGGGATATGTTCCTGGCTGGTGATTCTCCCACAAGCATGGTCACGTGCAGCACTGTGCGCACGCGCGCGTGGGCGCGGCGCTCCCCCTTCCGCGGCCAGGTGATGCGGGACGAGTCTCCCGGGTTCGCGCGCACCGGCCCCAGGACGCGGGGGGCGTGCGTGCGGGCCGGGAGCGTGGGGAACAGGGGCGACGGCAGGGGGGGGGATGATCGGCTCAGGGGGGAAGAGCATCGACGCCCAATCGACCATCCTCGTCCAGGGTTCGAGGTTCGAGGTTGTCGGTCGTTCTCGTCGGTTCTCGGCAGTTTCCCGGCCTCGGGGTGCATGCCAGCGGCCGCGCCTCGTCGAGGGCGTCCCAGGGGTGCCCAGAGCGTCCCGAGCGGTGCTGGAGACCCGAGCTATGGCCCGAAAACCAGTGGAGGGGCAGGCTCAGGGGGGGTCGCATCGATCCCCAATCGCCCACCCCCGCCAAGGAACGCTCGGATTCGCCACCAGGGGCCTATCGCCGATCCATTGTCGATGAATCGCCGACTCCAGGTCGATGTTCCCCCCCCTACCCCTTCAGGTGGAGGAGGAGGAGGAGGAGGAGGAGGAGGAGGAGGAGGAGGAGGCGGAGAAGGCGGAGGAGGAGGAAGAGGAGAAGGAGGAGGAGGAGGAGGCGGAGGAGCTGGTCCACTCCTGGCGCTGCCCCTCGGGGGGTGCGGGGGGGAGGTGAGCTGCAGCAGGGAGTGGGGCAGGCGAGGCCCGCTCTTCTCCGACGGCGGGGGGGCCTCGCCGGCGCCGCGGCTCTGTGCCCCGGCCTGCCCCCCGAGGCCTCCCTCGGGCGGGGGGGGGTGGGCGCCGTGGCCTCCTGCGGCGGCGCCCGGATCCTCGGGGCCCCCGGGCTCGAGGCAGCGCGGGCGCGGGCGAAGGCTCGCGCGCTGACGACGGGTGCCGCTTCCATGCGAGGTCGGCGCCGCCTGGACGCCCGAGATGGGCACGGAGAGAATTGGTACAATGCCCAACAGCAGTTCCTGTCCACTTTGAGCAGGATTCGCTGTCCACGCCGCCGCGGCCTGTGTCCATTCGAGACAGAAGGCCGCTTGCCCAACAGCGGCGGCTGTTGGTTTGGGACAACATTTGCTGTTGGGCATTGTACCCATTTCGGGCGTCCAAAGGCGCGCTCCGTCGCAAAGTCAGCGGAGCGGCACTGGGTCCATGTTTTGGGGGGGGGGTGCGGTCCCCGATGCGTTGGCCAGGCGCCCGCGCGACAGATCCACGGATCCCCAGCCCAGGTCAGCGTACGCCGCACGCCCGACAGACGCTGCGGCGACCGCGCCGCGCGGCGAGTCGGCGGGGCTTCGGGGGGACCGCACGGTTTGGAGCCTCGGGTCGCTCTCCGAGGACGCCTCGGCCGACCAGGGCCCTCGAGGGTCCCCAGGCCGTGCGGTGGTGGACCGCGCGGGGGAGGTCGCTGGCGATTCCGAGGTCACCGCACGGTCTGGGTCGACGGTGTTCCGGAAGGAACAAAACACACAGACACAATGAATCCTCAATCCCAAGAAAATATTGGGAAGTATTGGACGTGGGGGGGAAGACAAACACCCAGAAAATATAGGAGCATATGGGAAATCTCTTCTTTGTGTCTTTGTTTGTGTGTCCTTGGGCCCCCAAGGGCCTGAGGCCTCGCCCCCCCCCCCCCCTCCCCCGCACTCCCGCTCTCGGCCATGCGCAGAGGGGGGCGGGCGGGCGGGGGGGAGGGGGGAAGGCTTCCTGGGAGCACCCCCCTGCTCCTCGGGAGGCGCGAGGCCGTGTCTGCAGAGCCAGGGAGTCCGCGGCCTCTGAGGAGCAGCCCCCGCCCAAGAAGCCCTCCTCCCCCGTGACCGCCACGTGCGCCCCCCGTGCGCGCCGCCCGCCGAACCCGGCCCGAGGTGGCGGCGCATTCCTGGCCCCTGCCCCTCCCTGGCCCCAGCACGTGCTGAGAGCCTCGAGCCTCGAGCTCGCTCCCCTGTCTGCCCCCCCCCCCATGCCTCCGCGGAGGGGCCCGGGAGAGGGCGCGGGAGGAGCGGGGGGGAGGCGCCGTCTGGCCCCGTCCCCCCTCCTTGGAGGGGGCCTCCAGGGCAGAGCCCCGAGCTCCAAAAGAGTTCAACAGTGTTTACGATCCCGGGTCGGGGGTTCACAGCCCGCACCCCCCCCCAGATGGGATAGGCCCCAGGGTTCCACAGCCGCCCCCCCAGATGAGACGGGGCGGGACGCCGACGACGCCGACGCCGACGACGACGCCGACGGCGGCGACGGCGAGGACGACGACGGCGACGACGACGACGCGACGACGACGATGACGATGACGACGACGGCGGCGGCGGCGACGACGACAACGACGACAGACGACGGACGACGGACGACGGACGACCGACGACGGACGACCGACGACGGACGACGGACGACGGACGACGGACGACGACGACGTCGACGAAGATGACGACGCCGACTACCCACCCCACACCCACCGGGGAAGGGCGGGGGGTGCACCGGCACCCTCCACCCACCACGCACGCCACGCCCACAGGGCCACGACCGCAGGGGGGGGAGTGATACCATCCGTGACTTCGCGAGGCTCACGAGCGTACGCATCCAGCGAGGGCGTGGGCGGGGCTCGCTCCCATATGCGTTGCGGGGTGGGGGGGGGGCAACCCTGGATCATTTGTATCCAGCCTGGCCCAGCGGACAAAAAGCACCCTGGCCCCAATCTTCACCTTAGCAGCGCCAGGGGCTCTAGATTTGGGCCCCTTGAATTAAACTTGGCGACCCCCCCCTACTTCGCTCCTACCCTTCAAGGTCCGCATCCTTGGGCAAGAAGGGACGCAGCATCTCTGGGCAAAATACCAAGAAGGCGGGAACGGGGAGAGTGGCGGTGACCCATTCGGGCAGGAACGGGGACTAGAGTGGAGGATCGACAACCTGCCTGCAAAAATCACACCCCGTAGCTGTATACAGGTTTGGTTACGATGACGGGACCGCTTCTATAGCATCCCTGGGCACGCACGCGCAGCACGCGAAGACAGAAAGGACCCGAGGAGCCTCATGAGAGCCCAGGTGAACGGCCTCGAAGTCCCGCAAGGGGAGTGCGGCCGAACGCCCCCTGGCACGCCTTCAGAGCCCATGCGCACTCCCGCTCGATCCCTGCGTTTCCTCCTCAACTCCTCTAGTTACTCCCTCCCTCAATACAGCGTTTGGGCATGGCGAGCCTCGGCAAAACGACCCCAGGCTGCCTCGACTCTGCCCTGCGCTGCAATCGCGGCAGACATCCGGTGGGGAGGACGAGAGGGTGAAGAGCAGGACGGAGGAGCACACAGTCGCGGAAGGCACCCCGCAGATCCCCCTCCCTCGCTCCCGAAGTCTGTTGCTGGCGCGCCCCCTTCGCCTCGCCCCCGCCCCCTCGTGACCGGCGCACGGCCGCACGAGGCAGCAGAAGGGATCCCGGCATGGTGGCCGTCGTCGCCGGAGCGGCGGTCCAGCGCGCGCTCGGAGCACTGGCGCTGCTGCCGCCGCCGCCGCCGCCGCCTGACGAAGGGGGGGGCCGTGCAGGGGCACGCGCCGGCGCCGAGGCCCTCACGAGCTCCGCAGCTCTGCGGTGCCCTGGCCGCCTGCCACCGAGGCCGCGTGCCCGGTGCCCGCGCCGCGGTGCCCTGCCCGGTGGCTCCGCCGCGGTCCTCGGAGGCGTCTCCGGCGTCGGGCCGCACGCGGAGCCCCTGGCCTCGAGGTCGCCGGCGCCTCCTCCACGTCGGGCGGCGCTGGCGATGAGTCTCGGGAGGCTGCAGCTCAGCCCCGCGCGCCCGCCGTGGGTGGAGGGGGGGGCCTTCTGTCCTGGGCGGTGGTCATGAGAAGATCGAGCAGGAAGGCCAAGATGAACAAGGAAGGTCAGAGGCACAACAAGGACTGGAAGGCCACGAAGGGGTAGCGGTAGACTCTGCGCAGCGGCTGGCGGTGCCTGCCCACCAGCTCGCGGAGAACTTCCACCTCGTCGGCAGCGACAGGGAGGAGGGGGACGGGCCCGCGCTTCTAGCTGAGGGGCGGGACGCCTTGGAGGGCTGGTGGTTGGGCATGCTGGAGCCTCTGGGCGTGGTGAGCGCGTGGATGTCCTTCCCAGGATGCCACCAAGCGGCCTTCTCCGTGCGTACGCTGGATGCCGGCGAGCTTCAGTGGCGTTTCGTCCAGGACGATGCGCCGCGGTGCATCCAGAAACGTCGGCAGGGCGACTTTCTCGAGGTCGACGGGCCGCAGAACACTCGCTCGCTTTTCAGTGTGTTCGGCCCCACCGCATACATCGATTATCGAGCAGATTGGCGGCCCCACCAGAAACGATGACGATTTCTCCTCGACGCCGAGCATCCCACAGGATTCGCAGGGTGACATCTTCATGACCGGCGCACATCAAACCACGCAGCAGGTCCTCGAGGCTGTGGAGGCCCAAGTCGAAGATCGAGCTGAGCGGTGGCTGTGCCAGACATCCAAGAACGAGAATGTCTCCAACGCGAGGCCGTGCCACCAACCTCCTAGGCTTGCAGTGCGACCTCCAGGACGATGCGCCGAAGATGCCGCAGACTGAGCAGATGAAGCAGAAGCAGGGCTTGCAAAGCGGCGCCCTCACTCTGGAGTCCTGCCCTCCCGCGTCTTCGATCGTGAGCGTCAGCACGGCGTCCTCGGGGCCCGGGCCCCCATCCAGCCCAAAGCAGCTGAGCAGCTTGGAGTACATCATACATCAGGGTGCTGAGGAAGGTCAAGCAATGTGATCGTTGTCTCATTCGTTGCTGTGCCGATCGGCGCGGGCTCTCGCACCCCCGCTCCCCCATGGAGTAGATCTTAACTGTCTTTAACGCCTGTTTCCAGCAGGTGGAGCCTCCCCCCTGGGACGCACTGTTGCAGACAGTCGCACTAAGCAGAGGTCTGCAGCCACACCCCCCCCCTCTCCCCCCCCCCTTCCGCCCGATGTCGAAACAGCGAGTACGAAAACGTTCACACAATGGCAGAGCGCAGGTGCGCGGGTCGCTGCCATGGTCGCCCGCCTCGAACACGCAGCTCGGCGACGTGCAGCGGCGGGGAACGAAACGCCCAGACCGACCTCTCTCAGGAGGGAAAAACACACACAGACACAATTAATCGT